TTCAGGATCTACGCAGGATGACCGGGATCTAAAAAGTACATTTTAAGGTGCTGCCGATGATACCACGTGATCAGCGAAGTCGTGTTGCACACTTCCTCGAAAAACAGGGATTTAAGAAGCAAGCTCTGGCGGTTAGCAAGGATCCGGACCATCGTTTCGAGCTTGCTCTTTCGCTCGGAGAATTGAAGCTGGCTTATGATCTTGCATTAACCGCTGATTCTGAAGAAAAATGGCGACAGCTTTCTCAAGCAGCAACTCTGCGAAGTGAACTTATGTTGGCTGGAGAATGTCTCGGACGGGCTCGTGATTATGGCGGCTTGTTACTGTTAGCCACCTCTGCCGGATCAGCTGCACTGGTTCGGAACTTGATTTTTTCTGACTGAGCAAAATTGCGGTCTCGACATCCTTCATGTTGGTTTTCCTTTTTCAGCTTTCGAAGCTTGCATCTGACTCACAGTTATCTGAACAGCACAACTCCTCATTCCTTTCGTATCTCCTTCTCGGCGACCTCGACAAGTGTTTGGAAATTTTGATTTCGACAGGGCGTCTTCCGGAAGCTGCTTTTTTCGCTCGAACTTACTGCCCCTCTCAAGTTAGTTTAGCTTTCATCCCATCCCGATTTGTTATGAAATGTTGTAGTCAGTCTATGTTATTAACGTCGATTCGTTGCAGGTTGATCGCGTTGTATCGCTGTGGAAAGACAAAATTACTTGCAAGCTGTCAGATGGACAGAAGGTAGATTGTATCCTGTTGATTTTAGGCTTTTGCTTATTTTTAAATCATTTGCCAAGCTTTCTTTTCGAAGCATGCTATTAAATCACTGGGGTATTCAATGGTTTTCAAAATTCCGAAGTTGCATGCTTTTGTACGGAGATTAAAATGTTTTTCAAACATAGTTTTTTCATAATAACACATTTCTTTAACGTATTTTCTATGTGAATCGAGATACCGCCATTAAACATGTATAAATACCAGTCTAAACTTCTGCATCATTGTTGACAGTAGGAATTATTCTCGATGTACTATTATTCATTCCAAGTTTTTTTTTTT